AGCAATTTCTGGATGATTTTGGCATGTGGAATGAGGGGTTGAAGGCAAAAAGTTCTTTGGATGAAAACTAAAGATCTGGTACGTGGGGTAGAAAAACTAGAAAAATGGGGAAGGAGAACTGGAAAACTTGAAAGGTTTCTCCAGTGTTGTCAAAATCGCGATTTAAATCGTAAAATCGTACAATTTTACGATCTCAGATAAGCATTTCGAGTAAAATCTATGTCAAAATTGGAATTCCATGAAATCGAGGGCTAAAATCGTAAAATTATGATTTTACTGTGAAATCAGATAAAATCTCGATTTTACCCTCAATTGAAGCAGTTGGACCATTTCTTCTTGGGTTAATGGGCTTTGACCAACAGCCCTTAAATTAAACCCATTTTTTATTTTAAAAGCCCACAACCCTTAACCCAACAACAATTGCAGATTTGCTTCTAGAAATCGAGAGTTCAGGACTAATTTGATCTAAATCTTTGATCTTATTTAGTCTTCCTTCACTCTTCACTTAGGGTTCACTGCAGGGGAAAGGAAGATTAGATTGAACTGTCGTTGCTCTCATCACTCACTAGCCACTTTCGTTGCTTATCACTCACTATCACTGCTGCTACTCACTGCTCAGTTCTGCTCACTGCTCAGGGGCTTTCTGGAGTTGCTGTTGCTCACTGTGTGCTCAGGCTCTTCCCGGAGTTGCTGCTGCTCACTGCATGCTCAAGCCCTTGCTGCCTTGCTGCTCACTGCTCAGGCCCTTGGTACCTTCAAAATATTTAGCATCTTGATTATTTGGATCATATCTTGCTTAGAATCTCCACCAACTTCTTGTTATCTCTTTTGGCAAGAAAGTTAGTATTTAACATTTTTAATTTCTAGTTTAAATGTTTAACTAATGATTTATGTTAAATTAATTAATTTATTTGTGTTATTGGATATTTAGATTTTAATTAGCTAATTTCAAGTTTTCAACTCTAAATTTGATTTATTGTTGTTTAATTTTGATTTTATATAATTTATTATCTATTATATATTAAATTTAGTAAACTCTCGATTTTACCAATTCAATTTTATGAGTCTGATTTTACCTAGCCAAAACGATTTTAGGTAAACTCTTGATTTTGACAACCTTGGATTCCTCTTCCTTTTTGAAAAATGGGAAAAATAATATATATATGTCCAGTGGTATTTTTGTAATTTTAAGGTTGTGCAGTGGCTGATAGGTAGGTTTGGATGAGCTGTGAAACTCTTAGTAGCTCTAGACACTACTGGCAGTTCTTTGACAGTGGCATCATGAATTGCCTAGTGGTTCCAGTGAAGCTTCGCTAGTTCTGGCGAAGGACTGGAAACTGAATATTTCTGGTAATTTCTCCAACCATATGAAATTTCGTTTTTGGGGAGGTGTTTGAGTGCAGCCAGCAAAAACAATATATGCACAAGATTTTGGTGGAGTCCCCAGGGGTTATGCAGGACTTTTGGAAGACTAAGCAAGCAAACAGTAATCTTTTTCAGCAATTCCCAAAGCCATGGAACTTGTGTAGCCACCCTTGTATAAATATGGTTGCAAGTTGCTGATGGTGACCAAAACAGCATCTCTGGTTAGTTTTTAACGGGATCTCCAGCTTTGGTTAGCATCAAAGGGTATTGTACTGGGAATCAAGTTTACTCCCACGTCTTCGCCATCCAACCCTTTCTGGCAAAGTTCGATAGCATCGCCGGCGCCAAGCTCCCCTGGCGTGAATTCCTTGCTTCGCCAGATGGGTAGCATTCACCCATCCATGCCTACCAAACCACTACTGCCATAGTTTATCCCAAATAATTCCCACGAGCTTGGATTCATGGGCTTGAATTTTTAGCAATGACAGCAAAACACATGTGAATATATGTTCAAATATTTAAGGGTAAAATATATAAATATATGCAACGAAGAAGGGAACTCCCTCGTGTGTTGAAGGGGACGATGTGGATGAATGCTCATTACTCCCACTTGTTTGCTGGCCATGGCGAGCGCCAATATATTGCTATTATACATGGCTAGTGTTGCGCCAAAACAAGGAACAAATGGTATGGATGTGTGCTGCGATATCGTTATCTCAAGCCAAGCATCGCTGGTCGGCAATACTTGCTAACACATAAAACATAGAAAATATGTGTTTTGAGTCGAGATTACCGACGACTGATAATTTTGTCCCTTTATATAGAAGAATGATAATGTGCATGACTGTTGGCGATGTTATATAAGTATCGTAGGGTCAACCATGAATAGCTTTCCCTTAGCCAGAGGGACAATAGTGGTTAGCTTTGCCTATAGCTAAAGCGTGAACTATGTGGAACCGGAAGAGCACTCCCACTAATCTACCAAGTCACAAAGGGGTAAATCTCACTAAACTAGATAAAGAAAGAGGTGGAGTTGTCTCCATAGAAAAGGGACACCAATTGCATCCATGGCCTTCGATACGACAAGGAGTGATACCACTGACAAACGCTGGCCCTTCTTGTTGTACTCACATCGTTAAAGGGTGGTCCTTGTTGTTGTTGCCTGTCTGGCACCGCACCACCATGTAGAGGCAATCACCAAGGGACCACCGGTCACTACTTGATGGATTTTTATCATTGGAGGGTAGCCATCCCATCCGATTGCAAGGTTGCAACTGTTACCAGCCTCACAATAATCATTTTGAGTTGCGTTGACTCTTTATCTATTTTTGGGAGCTAACAAGATAAAATATGTAGACATCCAACTTTTTGTCCATTGTCGAGAGTCGGTGTGATGAAGATATGCAAAGATGTGTAGCCTTTTACCTATTGTTGGAGGCTAAATAAGATAACGAATTTGGGCCTTTGTCCATTGCTGGGAGTCACATGAGTTAGCAGTGAATATCATTGCAAGGGACATGATCATCAAAACGTCCAGCATGTTATGGAAATAGATCTAGCCATCTCCAACCATGTATATAAAGATGTTGGAGTGGGCTACATTTTGCAATGTTCCCAATGAAGTATATGAATGTTGTTTCTGGTGATGTTGACTTTGTTGTAGTAATCAACAAAAAATAAGAACAACATGTCTGATGTGGCAAATAAGTCATGTAGGCCCTTGCTGACGTGGAATCGCACATGTCATTAGTTTCAAGACCATACAAATTCATCCCTCAACATTAGCCCCCCAAGCGGACGAAGTTGTGATAGCAAGTTTGGCTGATTGGCGTTGAGGGATGCATATCGCTGAGATATTCTCCATATGATTATAAGCATGTTGGAATATTGTAGACATCAAGTGATTAATGTGGATCCTTTTGTGGAAGCAGATGTGGCTTGAAAGACTCAGTATTGTCGAGATTTGGCCCCAATTGAATAATATGCTAATGTTAGAGTAACTTCGATAGAGGTGAGGTCATGCTAAACCCAACCATGCAAAATAGATAGTGGTGAGCATAGATAAGTCTAATATGTCTCGGTTGTCACTGATGAACGAGATTGAAGTGTCAGTCGAGAAATCTAATGTTGCCGACAAGATTTTAGCATGGATTTAATTGAACATAGCTAGAGCAAAAATTTCAACCGCAAGTCTTGATCCACTAGCGAAGTCTTGACATGGATAAAATCAAGTAGAACTGTAGTGATACTCTGATTAATAGTTCCAAGGTTGTTGAGAATGATGGGGCTCGAGTATATGCAAGATAGAGTCAACGCTAGCCAAAGTAATGAGCAACACAAATGGCATCCATGAAATATTTATGAAATTATTTTGGGTAGGAAAAATTACCCCCGTGCTTGGCCAAATCCTCCTTTGTAGATTTTATAGAAATAATTTTCTACAAAAAAGGTTGAGTGTAATTCAGACAATACTTGACAGTGACCCCAACTGGTGTGGATATAAGGTTGGTGAGTAGGCTTTCGGTCGTGTCTTCGCTAGGATTTCTGCATGGGCTGTATTACTTTTCTTTTGGGTAACATAATAAACTTTAAGTAGTTTCTGTAGAAAACTTTTTTGCACTGTTCACATGTGGTTCAGATTTGAAGAAAATTCAAAACTATCTCCCAAGGAAGTTTTCAACAGTTAGAGAGAAAAAGTAACCTCCCTTTTGAAAAATGAAGAAATTGAACCTTCCCCAAAAATCTTGTTATGATGGCGCATAAAAAGGGGAGATTTTAAAGGAAATCATATGTGAGCAGGTGTATTAAAACAATGTGCACCTCACTTGCTGTCCCTTTGATGATTTCTAGCCATGTTGATGCGCAACAGGTGGTGAAGTGGTTGACCGATGCACTAAATACTACCCTTAATTTCCTTTTCTGCCATTCTCCTTGTTCCTTAACAAACTTTCTAGTTTCCCTTTTCTTCATTTTCACAAAACTATTGAACTCTTCTCTCTTTACTTTGTGCCTTTGATTTCCACCATTTTTCTCATGAAAACCCCCCATTTTTTTTTTTTTTGACAAAGCAATTGGATTCTTCCCAAAGAGATCAATCTAGTGTGCAAATTTGGCAAAACCCTTCTTTCAACCTAAGTAACGATGGATCCCTATTTCTTTACTTTTTTTTTT